ACCCACTGTGCAGTGGATCCTGACCTGAGTTCTCAGATACCCTATTCCAGAAGGCACCAGGTCCAGGGCCCATCACTGTGATAGTGGGCACCCAGACTTAGGGCAATCAGGTGGACTCACATCAGGACATAAAGCAGCCCAGGCCCTGGGTTCAATTTCCAGCTCCACCAACCTCCAGCATGTGACCTTTGGCAAGCTATCAGACCTCTCCGGACCTCTGTTTACTTACCCACAAAACTGGTGCAATGATAACTTTGTTTCCACGCAAGCTGTGAGCATGGAACAATACCTGATCCAAAACTGCTTGGGCCGCTTAGACCTGCTTGTGCTTCCGTGGTTGGAGGAGAAAGGGCATTCTTGAACTGGGGTGGTCGGGGAAATGGGAAGCCAGGGGTTGGTATGGGTCCTGGACACAACAGGCAGAATTGGGGTGAGCGGAAAGGGAGTATCTAGAAGTGTCTCTGCAACAAAAGGAACAGCGAGGGTTTTCTGGAAGGGATGCCAGGGTCCCATGCAGGCTGGACAAGTGTCTGCCTCAGCCTCTTCAGGAGGTAGGATCACCAAAGACTTCTTTTAATAAAAAGAAACAAAATCGTCAGCGAATCCATCATCAGCATCTTCCACTGTTTCCATCACAAGCAAGCGCTGGCACAGACTCCTTAAACTAATATTTGCCTCTGGGTCCCTGACAGCCACAGCCAAAGGTAAATATTGGTTTAGCCTGGGAAGTGGAAGACCAGATGGCAGTGTGGTCCTTCCCAAGAGGACTCATGCTGTCCCCCACTGCCAAGCTGAGCCACACCCAGGATAGGGCCTGACCCAGAGGCCATGGAGACCGGTCGAGGCAGCCTGGCCCCGGAGGCTACCTGAGGCCCCACACTGGCCGTCCTCAGGGCAGGTGGGCTCTCTCCCTGGCTTGCAAGCCCTCTGGGCTGTACATCTTGCTATGCTCTGTGCCCTGATCAGCCTGTGAGGCCTGCATCACTGGCCTGTGTGGGCCTGAGCAGCTGGGGGCCTGTGGGCAGCCCCTATCATCCTCTCCTGACACCTCTCCCTGTCCCCCTTGATGCCTAATGCGTACCCCTCATCTACACAAATCACTGCCACCTTCGGATGCCACCTCTCCCCACAAGAGTCTGTCCCATTGCTGCTCGTGCCCATGTCCCTCTTTCCTGGCCTAAATCATTTCTCCTCATCCTGCCTCTTTAGATTCCTGACCGGAAACACACCCATGCTGGGAGTCCTCTGGGTTTGCTCCCCAGCCTCACTGTCTCAGTCAGCCTCAGGCCACACTCAGTCACAGAACTGGACTGAGGCTACTGTGAAGCAACTATGGCATGTCCTCCCAACCTGTGAAAGAACTCAAAAAGGGGGCTGGACCTAGGCGACCCCCTTTCTGCACCTTGGCTGGGCTCAGGGGGACTCAAGGCAGCTCAGAAGCACTCTATGAGTGGGGTCTGGGCTCCACCCCTTTTGCCAGGACTGAGGCTGCTCTTCCCTGTTGAACATTTCTGAGAGGATCAAGGAGACCTTGAGCAACTAGGATAGGAGTTTATCTGCCCTGGTATTAATCACCCCATAAAACTGGTGTTTATTTAGTTGCTGGCGGGGTCCTCTTCTTGGAGGTAGGAAGCTATTATTCTTGGAGATACCAGCTCAGGCCTGGGCCAGGGAGCTGGGAGGAAAGAGAATGGCCTGCCCAGCTCTAGCATCATGGAGAGGTGTCCTGCTGGCTATGGCATGAGGCTGGGTTACAGTCAAGGCAGAGACAAGACCCCAACCTTGATCATACTTTGCCCAGGGACTCAGCCCTTCCTCCGTAGCCTGGCTCCATAGCTACCATGCACCCAAGAAAAGGCAAGGTGTGGGGACTCTGGTTCCAGGCAGAGGCAGAAGAGGACAGGGGCAGACCTGGCAGGAAACCCTTAAAGATCAGTGGAAGACAATCACACCAGGAAATTGACCAGTCCTCAAAACCACCACCACACACAGCAGCATTCTTCAGAGGAAAGATTGCACTGGGAAGGGGAACCTGGAAAAGCAGAGCAAGAGGGGTCAGGCTGGGGGAGACACAGAGGCCCTGAGACAGGCAGATGAGGGGCATGGTGGGCAATGCAGGAGTCGGAGAAGGAAGAAACAAAGCCAAGTCTGTATAGGGTGACACTGAGCACATCTCAGAGGGCAGGGGTGAGGAAGGCAGAGCCCTGGCCCTTCTCTCTCCCTCTCTCCTTGTCCCTCCCTCTCTCTCTTACACACACACACACACACACACACACACACACACACACACACAAACACACAGACACACACACGAATCAATTTAACAAGAACAAACTGAAGAGATAGTTTAATCTGCTAATTGAATTCAGGGGCCATAGTCAGCATTTGAAAATGCTCAGGGATTATAATGATTTATGACTGGGATGAGGATCAGCGGGGAGCTTCTCGGGTGCGGCACAGGGCGCTTGCCGGGACAGCCAAGGGTGACCAGCCACCCGCCCACCACACTCAGCGCAAACCCATGTATAGTCAAAGCGGGGGTGGGGCCAGGCAGAGGCCACTGCTGGGCTCCAGCCCTGCTGGGCCCTGTGGGTTATTCTATGGGCCCCTGAGGGTAGGAGCCACACATAGCCTGGTTCCCACCTGCACAAAGCCTGTGGAATACGTCAGCACAGCCCAAGCCTCCTCTTCTGAAAAGCCTTCCTGGACTCCATCACCTCTCACTGACCTAACCGCCTCTGCCTTCCTGCTCACAGCTGTGTGCAAGGGGAAAGTCTTTCCTTTAGTCATCAGACCACCCAGGGCAAGTCCGGCTTGACCACATCCCTACATGGGTCTCAGTTTTCTCCCTGCCTAATGGGGAGAAAAGACTCCCTTCCAGGCCTGCCGTTGAGAGGTTAAATGAGTAAGGGGGGGGGGGCATCTCCACAGATGGAAGGGCTCCTATGACCACAGCACTCAGCGATTTACACCCTCCCTGGTTCTGCCCCACTGTGTCCCCAGCGCCTGCCCAGCCAACCAGGGGCTGACAAGGCGGGGCTGGCAGGCTGCGCCCCCAGCTGTGGCTCTCTTCCTGTCCTCGCATTTGTCCTTCTTGCCCGGTTCCGCCCTGCAACTGTCACTCAGGGAAGGTTGAAAATGTTGCTCCCATTTCTTTACCACCTCCCTTTTTCTCAAAAGTGGCACCAGTCTGCCTCCCCACTGTGGCAGAGCCCTGGGCTAAACTGCAGCCACTGTGTGGACAGGGGGCCTGAAGCTCAGGCCAGAGTGGCAAGACTGAAGCTCAGACTCAAGCTGGAGACCCCTCCACACAAAGCACGTGGCCCCCCGGCCACACAGTACAGGATGGGTGGCTCCCCCGGACCACAGAGGATGGTAGCAGCCACTGGCCACCTACTGTGTGCCTGGCTCCTGTGAAGCCAGCTTTTCAAGCCTCCAAAAGAAGCCCAAGAGCTTAATACAGGTGAGGAAACTGAGTCCAAGATCCAACTCTCTAGCTCAACAATTGATCCCTAGGCTGGCAGGAGCACTGCGGTCTGGGGTTCTGGGGAGCCAACTGATCCCAGCCCACCTGGACCCTTCCTTGTTGGCTGACACCTGGCATGGCCAGATTCGGTCTCTCTGCTTGTCAACAGGAATGCAGACACACTTTTATTGACTTGAAAAACAGAAAGTTCCTAAACCATTAGTTAATAAAAACAGCTTCCCGATGTTTGGAACTTCAGCAGAAAGGCTTCTGATTCCTCATTTCTTTGTTTTCACTTTCACTGTCTTTTTACTCACATAAAAATGTTTCAGAAAACTTTTACTGTTTCTGGGCTTTGCAGTCAAAAAGAAAAGAAAAATCTCCAGAAGAAGAAGAGTGGCCGGAAGAAGAGGATCAGTGCTGGGGAGCAGGTCTCTGCCTCTTTCTTTCCACTTCAGCTTCCCACCAACCTACGTTACTGCCCAGGAAGCTGAAGCGAAGGCTCTGACTCGTGCCCAGGGTCTACATGCACATGTGCGCGCGCGCACACACACACACACACACACACACACACACACACGCGCGCGCGCGCGCGCGCGCGCCCAAGTACAGCAGGTGGGAAGCATGTCAGATGGGAGTTCACAGCCTGACGTCTAGACCCACCCCAACACCAGCTCCCCCTGTTACCCCAGGAAGTCCGAGGCTCTCCACATCCCTTCCCCACCCTGGCAGGTGCTCCTGGCCAGTACCTTGGTGCTCCCAGCTGTACCTGAGCTCCTCCTCCTCTTACCCAGCCTCGGGACGTTTGCCTTGTTCCTCCCCTGCAGGAGGAACTCAGCAGCAGCCAAACAATCTCAGCCACCTGGGTCCTGCTGCTCTCATCACTTTTAACCCGGAAGCACTAGCCAGTGTGACTGCCACACCTGTAATCCCGGCTACTCAGGAGGCTGAAGCAGGAGGATCACAAGAGCAAAGCCAGCCTGGGCCAAGCAGCAAGACTCTATCTCAAAATAAAATATAAAAAGGGCTGGAGCTGGAGCTCGGGTAGAGCACTTCTGGGTTCAGCACATCAGGCATTGTGGTGGGGTGGGGCCCAGTGCCCTGGCTGGCTGCAGGCAGGGTAAGGGCTCACCTTGGACCTGGACAGACTAAGCACAGAAGGCTGGTGCCACCACCCCTCACCCTCCTTGAGCTCTCGAGTCTCCAGCTCTGTTGGCCCAGTGATGGAGTCAGCTTCCCAAGACTGCTGTGAGAACAAGCAAGGCTGAGGTCCCTGGCATGTGCCAAGGCCTCTATAAGCTGAGGTCATTCTGGTCAACACTGCAGATTCCTGGAGAGGGTTCCTGAGGTGGACGCTAGCTTGGACTGTGGAGGCGGTCGCTCACCTGGCTTCCCTTGTGAAGCCTCAGTGGGAAGAGGGGAGCTCTGAGGCCCCTTTAATCCTGAATGGGACACTAGCCAGGGTGGGGTCTCCCCACCTGCCAGATGCAACAGTCAGGCCCAGGGCCTGGATGCTGAGTGGGTGGGCACTCACCTAGCAGCTGGACACCCCGAGTGAGGCCATAGACATCCACCAGGGCCCAGAGCGGCTCAGCTGTGCGCACCCCGTTGAAGAAGAGCATGGCAGCCGAATCGTTGACACAGTAGAACACACGGCCCTTCTTGTCCACCCAGAAGGCAATGATGTTGCCCTCGTTGGCAAACTCCTCGGGCAGCGCCTTGGCCCAGAAGCCACTCTGGGACACCAGGTCAGGGCAGGCATACTTGGGCAGCGAGTCCGGGTGGATGCGGGACGGGTCTTTGCTCGTGAAGCCCAGCCGCAGGGCCCCACTCCAGCAGCACTGCTTCTTGGTGATCTGGTGGCAGGAGGTGGCCTCAGCCCGGCTGTTCCCCTTGGGCCAAGGGGAAGGGGGCGCCCTTCTGTGCAGACCACCCTCAGGGACTCCCAAGGTGTCCCAGGGCCAGCATTCCCACCACTCAGCTGCCTGCCCTCCCCAGGGAGCCTTGCCATGGTGGGTGGGTGGGCAGCCAGGTTACCAAGGCCAGGCCCAACCTGCTCCTCCTTTGTCACATGGGAAGGCTGGGGCAGGAGTAGTCAGAGGGAAGGGGGCGGTGGGAAGGAGCAAAAGGGTGGGACCAACAGCAGGCCCGGGCTTCACAGGACGGTCAGAGGTGGGGATGCCAGGGCCCACCTTGAGCCTGACTTGCTCATAGACAAGCACTGGACGATTGCTGAAGGTGATGGCATTGCAGAAGCTGGCTTGCCTCTTGACAGCCTTGTGGCTGAGGTCCATGAGGATCTGGGAGCCCTTGGTGTGTGGGTGGAAGAGCAGCGGCGTGGCTGGGAGCCCCCCGCCGGGCAGCACCGGGGGGCAGTGCTTCTGCTTGTGGTGGCATCGGTGAGATGTGATGGGCAAGGGGCCCCCGATGGAGTCTGCAAAGGAATCGGCCACAGTGTCAGAGAACTTAAAAGGTCCAAGAGCCCAGCATCCCCTGGAGAAAACTGAGGGCCGGGAGGTGGATACTGCCTGCCACCACTGCCGACCTCTGCGGTGGTCACCCTTACCACCACGATCTCGGCCACCTTCATCTCAACCTTTGCATCACCATCTACTACCTCTGGGTGCTTTGTTATCCACCTCTTCCTTCTCCTCCTCCCGAATACTTGACACCCACCTCCCACCATAAGCCACTGAGACAGGTCACCCTACTGCCTATTTATTCACTTTATTCAGCAAATATCCACTCCATGTTTATGGAGCACCAAGCCCTGTGCTAGGCTCTGAGGTTACCACCATATATGACCCACCCTCCTGGAACCCACGGCCCAGGAAGACAGAGGTGGGCAGAAACCACCGTGCAAAACAGCACATGGTGACAGCCACCCACAGGCCGAGCAGGCAGGTAGTATCTCCCGAAAGCTCCCGGTACTGGGAGGAGAGGACAGAGGCGGCATGAGGAATGGGCTGCAGTGGGCAGGTGAGGGTGGAGGCTGCTGCTAGCCAGGAGGGCACCACGCCGCACTCACTTTCCCTTCCCAAGCTTCCTCCCGAGCTATGTGCCCACAGCTCCACCAGGGTGGCATTGAGCACCAGGCAGAGCAGGGCTGAGGGGTAAGTGCTTTCCAGACACACGGTGAGTGGTGTCTGGGACCTGGGGCAGGAGAGGAACACGCTCAGGACCGGGAGCTGGCATGGCTTGTCTGCTGCTCAATGGCTATGTGGCTTCTAGGCACTCACTTCCCTCTCACAGCAGTGGGGCAGCAGGGCAGCCTGGGCTGGAGACCAGAAGGTGTCCTCCTCTTCCCCAAGACCTGTGCCCATCAGCCTCTTGGGAAGAGGAGGACACCCATTCTGTTATGTCGAGGAACGAGAGCCACAGAGTGTGGAGGTGGGAGCTGCTAGGTCTCCCGGACAGGACTCCCCGGCCCCAACCATTCCGCCCTGGGGAACAAGCAGCCAGGAAGTGAAGGAGAAGTGGGGAGGGGAACCCCCAGAGCAGGAGGGTGAGACATGTGCCCAGGCGGCTGCTCTGGGTTGCATCATTTCATTGCCACTCTATGGGTGTTTTCTTTCCCTCTCCTCCCAGAAAGCAATGCCAGTCTGCATCCAGGGGCCAGCCAGAAACCCTAAGCACAGGCTGGAGCCTCGCTGGAACAACTTCGGCCTGCCAGGCCCAAGAGTGGGGGTGGCACAGGGAAGGCTTCCTTGCTCTTGCCCAAGAGACAAGATATTCTAGACCTGCCTGACCCGTAAGGGCTTTGAAAGGCACCATGTTGTGGGGGTTGCAATTGCTCAGTGGTGCTTCGGGAGTCCGAGGAGGCTTCCTGAAAGAAGCTGAAAGAAGATACTGCTTGGGCTTCCACTACTCTTGGACACAGCTTGATCCTTGGTTTCAAAAAATATCCCCTGTACAACAGTGGTACTGCATGCTGTCGAGAGAAGCATCTCCACGTGGAGGTGAGAGTGAATGGACGATGAACATGTACACCGGTCCTTGTGCTCAATGGTGATAGGCAAGGAACCGCATTGGGCACAACAACAACCATCTCAAGCCAGTTACAAACAGTACACAGCCATGGTGAAGCCGCAGAAGCTTTGCCACCTCCCAGCCCTTCCTCTTCCTCTGTCTGCTCTCCCTGTACCAAACTGCCAAGGGCAAACCAAGCTCAGGAGATCCAAAGCAGTGGTGCGTGCCTCAGGTGAGGCAGAGGGGGCTACCAAGCAGCAGGGGGCAACAGGTGGTGGGGGTGACACCCTGACTGTGATGACAACTGCACAGGCAGGTGCCTAAGTTTAACAGACCCCACTTTAAATACATGCCACCTAGGATATGGTAATTATACCTCAGTGAGGGGTGAGGGCTTGGTTTGGCTGTATTTGGTTTTGTTTGTTGATCTGGTTGGTTGGTTGGATTCAAATTTTTGGGTTTTGAGACAAGGTGTTGCTAAATTGTCCAGGCTGGCCTCCAACTCTCAATCCTTCTACCTCGGTCTCCCAAGTGCTAGTGTTATAGGCATGCCCCACATACCTGAAAGTAAGTCGGTTTTTAAAAACCCACTGAGCCCAGCTGCTGAGCGGAGCCTGTCCTCTGCAGTCGCCTCAACTGAGGAGCGTGGGCCAACTGCAGGGCACAGCTCCTCTCCTTCCCACTCAGCCTCGGTCCTGGGTGAAATTCCAGAAAGCACTGACTCTGAGCAAATACAGTGTGACCCCAGCGGCCAGAGACTCAACCCCGGAAGGACATTCCCCAAGGTTCCTCTTCCACAGGGAGAACAGAGTACAGATCCCCCATTGGTCCCAGGGCTAAGGGGGAGGAGAGTAGGGCCCACACCCTGGTCCCCAGCAGAACAGGTGACAATGGTGGGCCCACTCACAGGCACACACTCACACCTACAAGGATACATGGCAATTCCAGGTAACAATTCCAGGAAATTCCAGGAAAGAGGGCATGGGGTTCTTCCTCTTCCATGACACTACAAGTCCTGCATCCACATGGATACCATGCACAGAGACATGCATTCGTGTGTACATGATTGCACAAAATTAAATGCACAGAACACACCCCACCACGTCATCTGGTAAGAATAGCAGTCATTTGCCAAGCACAGCACACGCCAAGCTCAGAACTGGAAGTTCTACGTATACTTGCAGCTTCACCTGTTGGGGAACTCATGAGGCAGGAAGGGTCATTATCAACCTATTTTAGCAACGCCAGATCTAAGCCTGGGAGAGCTCAGATTGCTTGCCCAAGGTCCTACAGCAGGTAGGATATGGATCTACCTGGTGCCAGGACCAGTGCATTAACCATGAAGTGTGAATAGCTAAGAAATTACAAGTTTGGTGCTGTGAATACATTTTCTAAATTCACACTAAAACATAACCATAAAATATGAAACAATCATCCATGCACCATGTAACAATCATGTCCCAGAGCACAGCGGGGATAAGTGACATTCCACCTTCATTTTCATCACACATGTCTATGCCACCAAAGCACAGAGATAAAAAAGGTGTTTCCTCCCTTCGCCCTGCTCGTGGGATTCTGGGGCAGGCAGGTTGGCAGTTTTTTACAGAATCAAACACCTCCCATATGACAAAGCCCTCGCACCACTGGGCATTGCCCAGAGAGAAATGGAAGCTTCCACAGGATGCCTGAGCTGCACACAGCAGCCTCACTCAACATAACCCCGTGCTGGGACCAAGGCAGATGTCCTCCAAGCAGTGAACGGCCAATCAAATGTGTCACTACCAATCACGGCTCCTGCTCTGCAGGGAAAATGGGCCCAACTACAGACATACATAGCACGGAGGAACTCAGCGGTGCTGGGAGGAAAAGATGCCAGAAGCAAAGGTTTTGTGCTGTCAAAGTCCATCCATGTGACATGCAAGAAAAGGCACAAAAGCAGGAGGTGTCAGCATCGGGGGCAAGGAAAATGGTTTGACCACATTGGGGCACAAGGGAAGTTCTGGGTGACAGACACATTCCCTGCTGACTGTGGCAGTGGTTTCACAGCCTACGCATCTCATCTGCCCAAGAAATGATATACGGTAAGAGATGTCCTTCCCTGCACAGACATTAGATTTTGGTTAAAAAGTAACAACTAGGGGCCGGGGATTTAGCTCAATGGCCTGCCTTGCAAGCGTGTAGTCATGAGTTCAAAGCACCCCACCATTCCTGCCCATCTCCAGGAGATCCCCACACCCTTCATTCCACCCCTCAGCGCTGGGTGCTTTCCCCATCTGAACTGCTGCCTGTCCCTCATGGGTGTGGAAAGATAGTAGTGTAACAGCCACACTGTGCTCTGGTTCCCATACCTGTCTTCTCCAGCCTACAACGTGGCCTCCCAAGACAGCCAGGGAGCCAGGCCTACCCTCAGGAGCTGTCCTGGCCCATTTCCTCTGAGCCCCAGGGGGCTGTGTGAGCAAACTCTGTGGTCTGGTACACAGCTTCTGCTCCCGCACCACGAGCTTCTGCTGTTGGAGTGACCCCAGCCCATACCCTCCTCTGCCCCCAGCTCCCTGGGATCCCTGAACACCCTATACTCAAGCTGCAAACCCTGCCCCATAAGCCAGCATCCCTGTCCACTCTGCTGTCACAGCCCTATTTGGTCAGACCTCATCGTTTCTCTCTGAACCAGGCCTCATAGCAGTGCCCAGCAACCTCCAGGCATGCTGTCCTCAAGGACTGCAATGTGAATGGTGACCTAGGAGGTGGCCATGTGGCTGTCACCCTGGAGTCCCCACTTTTGGACTTCTCAGACAGCAGGTAGGATGCAAGCAGTTTGTATGGAGACCCCTGCAGCCAGCAGAGACCCTGAGATGGTAGTGTGTGGGCTGTACCACTGCTCTGCAGTGCTGAGGGCCAGGGTGGAGCCCTTACCCTGCCACCTGGCTCCCAGCAGAGCTCTCAAGGAGGGTCAGACCAGGCTAAGAACATCCAGTGAGACTTGCCCCAGGGTCAGTCCTCTCCTGGGCATTAGGAGCTGCCAGATGTAAGCCTGGACAAGAAGACCCAGGGAGGGAGCCACCCATCTCCACCAGAGCAGCAGCGCTGGAGACTGTGCCACACCCTGTGAGGATCAAGAGAAAGGATCTTGACTTCAGTCCCCAGCGCCATTCCAATACAGACCCACAGAAACTAGGTTACACCTGGCAGCAAGAAGAGATCTGACCCCAGTCCAGCCACCACCATGCCCAGAGGCTGGGTTCCCAACAGTGAGACCTCTGGGAGCCTCAATTTCCCCATGCATGCATGGAATCCTTATGGGAGTCTCACGAGGTTTAGGGGAGACACAGGACACAAACTCAGGCCATGGGGGCTGCTACTCCTAGGTCCACTGTGCAGGGTTTCCCACTTGTGCCCCGGCTCAGAACACTCCCTGAGACCCTGACCTCCAGGCTCTGCAAACCCCACCCAGTGCCCTCTGCTTCT